CTCTCTCTCTCTCCTCTCTCTCTCTCTCCTCTCTCTCTCTCTCTCTCCCCAACACACACACACACACACAATATTAACATGGTAAGAGTTATCACAATATAAACTAGATTAATAAAGTTTGGGGTGCGCGTAGAGTTACTCGCAACAAATATATGGTATGCATGTATAAAGAAGATTTGAGTTTTAGCGGCTTCAACATCCAGTAGGCTTGTAATTGTGTGAGCCTGTTACTAGGGGATGGAGATAAGTTGTTTTTAATGAACGTGCCGTTGAAGTGTGAGCAAGGTAAGTTTTATGAGGGGATTCAGGGAAACCGTTAGCTAGATTTGAGTCCTGGTAGTGGGAATGGCAGTGCCTACACTTTGAAGGAGGAGTGGGAATACTGCAGTCCTGGAGGTAGAAAGGGTAGTGCCTGCATTCTAAAGGAGGGATGGGAATGTTGCAGTCCTGGAGGTTGGAAGGGCAGTGTTAACATTCTGAAGGAGGGGTGGGAATGTTGCAGTTGGACGGCTATCCTGGAATTTACCTGGAAAGAGTTCCGGGGGTCAACGCCCCTGCGGCCCGGTCTGTGACCAGGCCTCCTGGTGGAATCAGAGCCTGATCAACCAGGCTGTTAGTGCTGGCTGCACGCAGTCCATCGTACGAGCCACAGCCCGGCTGGTCAGATACCGACTTTAGGTGCTTGTCTAGTGCCTGCTTGAAGACAGCCAGGGGTCTATTGGTAATCCCCCTTATGTATGCTGGGAGGCAGTTGAACAGTCTCTGATTATGAACATTAAAATGGTATGAAATACCGACAGATTGTTAGGTAAGACACATATGCAACAGTTAGGTATCTTTATTTCGAAACGTTTCGCCTACACAGTAGGCTTCTTCAGTCGAGTACAGAAAGGTTGATAGAAGCAGAAGATACTTGAAGACGATGTAATCAGTCCATCACCCTTAAAGTTTTGAGGTGGTCAGTCCCTCAGTCTGGAGAAGAGCATTGTTCCGTTGTCTGAAACAATATGAAGTTGAAATGACAGAATGGGGCCTTATATAGTGCCAGGAGGTGAGACGAAGGTTGCTTTGGGAGGGCAGGTCCTTCTCAAACCCAGCCGTTCTCACTAGTAGAGGTTGTCGAAGTGGTCTGTACCAAGATACCCTTGTACCAGTGTCTGTCAGACACTGCAACACAAGGGTATCTTGGTACAGACCACTTCGACAACCTCTACTAGTGAGAACGGCTGGGTTTGAGAAGGACCTGCCCTCCCAAAGCAACCTTCGTCTCACCTCCTGGCACTATATAAAGGCCCCATTCTGTCATTTCAACTTCATATTGTTTCAGACAACGGAACAATGCTCTTCTCCAGACTGAGGGACTGACCACCTCAAAACTTTAAGGGTGATGGACTGATTACATCGTCTTCAAGTATCTTCTGCTTCTATCAACCTTTCTGTACTCGACTGAAGAAGCCTACTGTGTAGGCGAAACGTTTCGAAATAAAGATACCTAACTGTTGCATATGTGTCTTACCTAACAGTCTCTGATTATGATATCAGCAAACTTCTGGAAAGACAGCATTATGTGAATGATGAATGTTTTTTCTTCTTTGGGGTCACCTTGTCTTGACAGTCCTTGAGTTAAAAGAAAATGTATGATGTGATAAATATATACTGTGAAATAATACATTGCGGAATAAATTGTATACAACATTTTTTAAAAAAAAGTATATATATGAAAAATTATTTAGCTTGACAAATGTTGATAATAAATTTTCAAAACTAGGACTTATAAAATATAAAAATAATATATTGTAATAAATATATTGATGAATTTATTAAAACAAACAAATGATATATACACCGAGAGGTGTATATTTCAGATGCTAGTTTTTAGTGTTAAAGTATTCTTGCCTGGCGGTAAACAAGGTGACAGTCAGCCTTAATAAACCTCGTGTAGTAGATAGGATTCAAACCTAATTAACCAACTATAAGAAAAATATTTTTGGAAAGTTATCAGAAAGTTTCTGAAAAAAATATATGAAACAGACTCGTTAACAGCACTCTCCCTCTCTCCCTCCATTCACATTCCCTCCCTCCCTCCCTCCCTCCCTTCTTCCCTCCTGGTAAAGGAGGAATAATGGGAAGCAAAGGTGTTGAGAGGACGGGTATGGAAGACTGGAAAGATAAAGGCGGGAAAATGCTAAAAAAGTGAAGGACTGGGTATGAGAGGAATAAGGGTAGTTGTAAGAGTGAGAGGGACTGGGAATAGGAGAGAGAAAATGAGAATGGAGTCAGTCCCTCCATCATTATGAAACAAATTATCTTTAAGTGACTCTAAAAGATAACTTTTGCTATTGGCGGACCCGTGCGTGTGTGTGTCCTCACCCACTTGTGTGTATCACTTGTATATATCACTTGTGTATATCACTTGTCTGTATCATTTGTGTATATCACTTATATCGTCCTTATAGACACCATTAACGTCATATTGTCTCATCACCGATTCGTGTTTGCTGGGGTTGAGTCTTGGCTCCTGGTCCTTGAATTTGTTACGTAAAAGGACACAAGTGCAACTTATGCAACATTTTATTGTGGCAGCGTTTCGCTTCCCCGTCTGGAGAGCGAAACGTTAATAATAATATATCTTTATTTACTACAAGTACATGTACAAGGTATACAGACCTACCTGACATCAATGACATAATACTATATAGGAAGCCGCTTGTTATGCAGAGCATTTCGGGCAAATTAGGTCAGTTTTGTCCCAGGATGCAACCCACACCAGACCACTAACTCCCAGGTACCCATTTTATTCTGATGGGTGAACAGGGACAACCGGTGTAAGGAAACACGTCCAATGTTTCCACCCCTTCGCCGGGAATCGAACCCGGACCCTCACTGTGTGAAACGACAGTTTTTGCCACCAGGCCACGGAACACATTAAAATGTGGCATTAGTTGCACTTGTGTCCTTTTACCTAAGATATTGTCGGTAATTCTACCAACATTATTAATACTCATTGAACTTCATCGCTTCATACTGGTTTCTGATCTCTTCAGCTCTATCATATCTTCTCTTAAAGCTGTGTATTGCTCTAGCCTCCATCGCTTCCACATTCAGTTTCCTCTATTTTCCTACTACTCTTGAGGCTGAAGAATAACTTCCTAACATTCCTGCCAATCATTTATGTTTTGAACTCTCTTCTCTCACCCTTGCATTTGTGTGTGTGTGTGTGTGTGTGTACTCACCTAGTTGAGGTTGCGGGGGTCGAGTCCGAGCTCCTGGCCCCGCCTCTTCACTGATCGCTACTAGGTCACTCTCCCTGAGCCGTGAGCTTTATCATACCTCTGCTTAAAGCTATGTATGGATCCTGCCTCCACTACATCGCTTCCCAAACTATTCCACTTACTGACTACTCTATGGCTGAAGAAATACTTCCTAACATCCCTGTGATTCATCTGTGTCTTCAGCTTCCAACTGTGTCCCCTTGTTACTGTGTCCAATCTCTGGAACATCCTGTCTTTGTCCACCTTGTCAATTCCTCTCAGTATTTTGTATGTCGTTATCATGTCCCCCCTATCTCTCCTGTCCTCCAGTGTCGTCAGGTTGATTTCCCTTAACCTCTCCTCGTAGGACATACCTCTTAGCTCTGGGACTAGTCTTGTTGCAAACCTTTGCACTTTCTCTAGTTTGTTTACGTGCTTGGCTAGGTGTGGGTTCCAAACTGGTGCCGCATACTCCAATATGGGCCTAACGTACACGGTGTACAGGGTCCTGAATGATTCCTTATTAAGATGTAGGAATGCTGTTCTGAGGTTTGCTAGGCGCCCATATGCTGCAGCAGTTATTTGGTTGATGTGCGCTTCAGGAGATGTGCCTGGTGTTATACTCACCCAAGATCTTTTTCCTTGAGTGAGGTTTGTAGTCTCTGGCCCCCTAGACTGTACTCCGTCTGCGGTCTTCTTTGCCCTTCCCCAATCTTCATGACTTTGCACTTGGTGGGATTGAACTCCAGGAGCCAATTGCTGGACCAGGTCTGCAGCCTGTCCAGATCCCTTTGTAGTTCTGCCTGGTCTTCGATCGAGTGAATTCTTCTCATCAACTTCACGTCATCTGCAAACAGGGACACCTCAGAGTCTATTCCTTCCGTCATGTCGTTCACAAATACCAGAAACAGCACTGGTCCTAGGACTGACCCCTGTGGGACCCCGCTGGTCACAGGTGCCCACTCTGACACCTCGCCACGTACCATGACTCGCTGCTGTCTTCCTGATAAGTATTCCCTGATCCATTGTAGTGCCTTCCCTGTTATCCCTGCTTGGTCCCCAGTTTTTGCACCAATCTCTTGTGTGGAACTGTGTCAAACGCCTTGCAGTCCAAGAAAATGCAATCCACCCACCCCTCTCTCTCTTGTCTTACTGCTGTCACCATGTCATAGAACTCCAGTAGGTTTGTGACACAGGATTTCCCGTCCCTGAAACCATGTTGGCTGCTGTTGATGAGATCGTTCCTTTCTAGGTGTTCCACCGCTCTTCTCCTGATAATCTTCTCCATGATTTTGCATACTATACATGTCAGTGACACTGGTCTGTAGTTTAATGCTTCATGCCTGTCTCCTTTTTTAAAGATTGGGACTACATTTGCTGTCTTCCATGCCTCAGGCAATCTCCCTGTTTCGATAGATGTATTGAATATTGTTGTTAGGTGTGTGTGTGTGTGTGTGTGTGTGTGTGTGTGTGTGTGTGTGTGTGTGCGAGTGAACATGACTGAAGCAATGTGGAAGGGAAAATAAATATGATTGGAACAATAATAATAAGAAACGTCCCACTCTGTAATATTACCTTAAAAATAACAAATAAGAATGTTGTTTATAGACTTTTTGCTGTGGCTCATAGGTTACCCGAGTTTTTTTTTTTTCAATTTGTTCCATGTCAAATCAGATTCAGTAGTCTATTGTGGTAATGGTGGTAGGTGGAGTGGGTGGCAGAGGTGGCGTCATAATCTTGTCAGGAAGATTACCCACAGGCAGCAAGTGCTGAGGTGAAGGTGGCTGAGCTGACCCAGTATTATGCTGGCTGCCTACCCACCCATAACATTCCACCCTCACCTTAATTACCACTTTACTTGATCAGGTGACCTCTCGGGCACCTGATCTAGTGCGAATCAGTGGCAGGATGCAGTGGAGTGCGGTGGTGTGTGAACACAGCCTCTTTCTGGGTCACCTAGAGGTGAGGTTGCTGCATCAACTGGCCTTTTGACTTATGGAAAGCAGGCGAAGCGTTTCTTAACAGGTGAACGGGGGATGGGCCAGGTAAACAGGTGGTGGTCAGCAAACAGTGGCTAGGTGAACAGGTAAAAGCGTGGTGTGGGGAGTTTTTACACAAGTGTGTGGGGTAGTAGACGTGGTGTGGGAAGTGTTAGCGGTGTGGGCGTGATGAAGGGAGGCATGGATTTAGGTCGTGGTGATGGATGAGCCAGAAGTGCTGCCCTCTACACTAGGCACACAGGCGAACTCGCCGTGTCACCTGCCCCCCTTTATCTTCGCCGAGGACCAGACGCTGCACCGCGTTGCTGTCCAAGACCTTCCTTCCGGGCCCCCGCATGTACCCAACGGGCCCTTGGTCAACGGACCATACATTCTCACCAACGGCCCCTACTACATCCGCAACGGGTCCGGCGCTACAATGGGTGGACCGCAGTCTAGTGAGGGTCCAGGACCCCAACAGGCTCCTGTTCTCACCACTTTCGGTAGGCCCACGTCAGCAGGGAGTTCGTCCCCGCAGGCAGGTTTTCCACCGCAGGGAGGGCTTAACCGCATCCTACCGCAGGTGCGGCAGCGGCCCCTAGACCCCCGTGTACAGCAGCTTAGGGGCCAGCCACCTTCAAAAGTGGTGGGGGCTCCCTCCTCCCTGGGCCGCAATGGGTTCTGCAGACCCCGGCGGGTGACCTTCCTGGTGGAGCCGGTCCCGGAGGCTGACGAGGATGACGAAGATGATGACGATGACGAACTCAGCTTCATTCACCACAGCGCCGCCGATAACCATGAAGAACACAACGACAAAGTGGATTATCAAGCTACGGAAAGCCAGAGCTCTTCCCCAGAAGAGCGTGACTCTGGGCTTCTGGGGTCACCCGCTCCCCCACGCTCCACCCACAGCTTTACAGGTGAGACACAAATATTCGCCAGAAAACTATATACTCAATTGATGTATTAATGAGAAATTCTTTTACTATTCTGAGAAATAATAAAATACATTTCAAATGCATGGATGATGAAAGGCTGGATAATATACTGTATAACATACGTTATACGTGATATGATGTTTTCATCATAATAAAAATATATTTGCAGTATGAAAGTTCAAAATTGCAACATAATTGAGAAATAAGAGTTGTGAAGGAAGACCCAAGGCACTGGAATGCCCTTGTTGCAAGAAAAGTGCCTTCACAGCCGCCATCTTGTTAGCCAAATATCGCGAATAGCAACACAAGATGCATAACAACCACGGGGGGAGTCGAACGATAGTTCGATCGTATTTGCTTGGACCTCTTTTCTGCAACATCGCTAGCTCCTGATGATGTATTGATTGCAACACGAAAGGCCTAGAGCTATCATTCGACTCCTCCCGTGGTCGCTTATACGTATATATTGGCTTAAATAGCAACGCTCTTCTTGCCGAATAAGGTAAGCTAAAATTTGTGTATGGAATAATTTCGAAAAAATCATTCTGAACCTAACGAAAAAAAATATGTTTTATTGCCTTTGCTTATTATTAAATTATTGTAAAGTTATCTAAAATATGTTTAGTTGGATTAGGCTAAACTAAATTGCGCTTGTTATAATAAGATTAGTTAAGTTTTCTAAGGTTCTTTTCTTTTGGTACAAAATTATTAATTTTTACATTAACATAATTGAAAAAATATATCTTTAAACGTATAAGAGAAAATTTTAGAAAGGACTTAATTTTAAATGAGTTCTTGCTAACTGCCCAGTTTTACCTATTTAGCACGACATTTTATATATATATATATATATATATATATATATATATATATATATATATTATATATATATATATATATATATATATATATAAATAATATATGTCGTGCCGAATAGGCAGAATTTCCGATCTTAGCTTAAATACCAACGCTCATCTTGCCATATAGGACAAGAGAAAATTTGTGTATGCAATAATTTCGGTAAAAACATTTTGAACCTAACGAAAAAAATATATTTCACTGTGTTTGTTTAGTATTAAATTATTGTAAACAAATCTAAAATATATATAGTTGGGTTAGGCTAAAATAAATTGTTCTTGTTATAATAAGGTTAGGTAAGTTTTCTAAGATTCTTTTGGTGCAAAATTAAAAATGTTTACATTAACATTAATGAAAAAATATATCTTTAAACGTATAAGAGAAAATTCTAAAAAGGACTTAATTTTAAATGAGTTCTTGCTAATTGACCAGTTTTACATATTCGGCACTATATATATATATATATATATATATATATATATATATATATATATATATATATATATATATATATATAATCAGCTAAGGCGGTAAGTATATAAAAAGTATGACAGATTCATATTAGAGGACGAAACCAAAAGTAAAATAAGCTCCATCCTGGTCCTTTTCTGAAACAAGGTACATCAGGCTGTCATCCTTCCCATTATCGACCCATAGCTTTCACTAGTTTCATATGTATATTGATGGAACGTATGGTTAACAGGAGACACATCACAGACGCAAGTGAAACTGACACTTACAGTCGTCGTCCTTCTTTATTACGCTCTTTTATCTTCCACCTTCAGACAAGTTACAGTACTTCTCTCAATCTACATTCCTTTTCTGTTCATCATCATCATTTCTTTTATATTCTCTCTTGAAAGGTACCGATGATTCAAGTATGTACCTCCTTTTTTCATCCAAAGCCTCACATCAATGCTGTGGACATGAGCTTCTTTTCTTGGCCATTTTCATTTGCGCTCACATGCTGTTGCTGTGTACACTGGCGACTAAATCCTAAGATGGTGTAGGATATGCAGATATTTTTCCAGATAATGTGACACAGGAACGCTTACTGGATTTTCACGGCAGAGTTATATGCACTTCTTACAGCCATCATCCACAATGCTTCTCTTCCTACTTCTTAATTTGTAATATCAGACTCTCAAAGTGCATCGCAAACTGTTCAGAGCGTTGACTCCTCGCATTCCATCGTCCTTTGCATTCAACACTGCCAGTCGCATCTTCAGCAAGCATACAGACCTCGTCTTTTGCTGGATCCCTAGTCATTCTAGATTCCTGGGCAAGAAACTTGCAGACTCTTCTGCACGTTCCGCAGCCCAGGACCTGTCCATCCCTCTCAGATCGAATCAGATTTATTCTCTATAAATATTACAATGTGGGGTTTACATATTATAGGATATTGTGTGGTTTACATACTATATAAAACTAATTACAGAGAGGGCCACTATCACACCTAGCATGACTAAGATTAATTCAAAACTCTATATTGGTACAGATTAAGGAGTGATATATGATTTTTTGACTATTTTCCAGTTGGTCTTGGTTAGAGAACAAGTTCTTGACTAAATCACAGTTGGTTTCTTGATCAAATTATTTTTGTCGTTGTATTTGGAAACGATTTTCGCCCGTTTGTGTATTGGCCATACTAGATTCACATATAGCTACCGCATGGAGAAGCACCCGGCACCTCTGTGCAACTTGTCAGGTTTCGTTGACACTCGAACACCATTTGTTTAATTGTTCTTTTTATCAAAGAACACGTAGGTTTAATTTTTGGTCTGTTTTTGAGCGCCTGGGTGCTCACAGGTTGCCTTTGACTCGTTTCAGGAAGCTCTGCTGTCAGTACAGTCCCACTCCACGACATTTTGACTGAAAATGATTTATTACGGCAACTCAACTTTCCTTGTTAGCTCGTAAGTTCATCTGCTGCACTACTTTCTTTACCCGATAGCTCCCCTCAGCCTTGTCGCGCTTTGTTACCCGTACGAGTTCAGTGCGTTTTGTGAATTTAATAACAACAGTAATAATAATAACAGTCGTGGCTCCTGTTCCTGCCCCTCAACTAACCGCTTCTTCATCGAGATCATTACACTTCTCGACCACTCTTAAACTGAAGAAATACTTCCTGACATCCCTGTGACTCATCTATATCTTTAACTTCCAACTGTGTCCCCAAATACCAGTTTCTCGCCTCTCAGACAATCTGTCCCTGTGGCCACTGTCAATTCCTCGTGAGTTTTCTTATATATTATCATACCTCCGCTAGCCCTTCTTTCCTCTTGTGTCGTTAAATTCAGTCCGTAAGTCTCTTTTCGTAGCTCATATACTCCATAGCTTTGGAAGATTCCTCATTTCATATTTCTACACTTTCTTCACTTCCTTAAGATTTTTTTCTGGCGCGGGTTCCATACTGGTGGTGTGTACTCGACGATGGGTTTGACATATGTTGTATAAAAGGCCTGGAATAACATTGTTGAGATTGTGAAGACTACTCTGTGATTTGCTATACGATCATTGGTTTCAGAGGTTATTCAGCTGATGTGCGCCTCTGGTGATATACTAGGCACTTCTGTGGTGATATACTAGGCACTTCTGTGGTGATATTCTAGGCACTTCTGTGGTGATAAACTAAGCACTTCTCTGGTGATATACGAGGCACTTTTCTAGTGATATACTAGGCACTTCTCTGGTTATATACTAGCTGTTCCTCTGGTGATATACTAGGCACTCCTCTGATGAAATATTAGGCACTCCTCTGATGATATACTAGGCACTCCTCTAGTAATACACTAGGCACTTCTCTGGTAATATACCAAGCATTATAGTCGCCTCTAGGGCTTCGTCTTTGAGTGAAGGCTGTAGACTTTGTCCCCAAGTCTATACTCCGTGTCCGGTCTTCATTCCCCTTCCCCACTCATTATTAAGTGCGTGTGTATGTGCGTGCGTGTACTCACCTATTTATACTCACCTGTTTATGGTTGCAGGGGTCGAGACTTAGCTCTTGGCCCCGCCTATTCACTGGGCGCTACGTGGTCCTCTCTCTCCCTGCTCCATGAGCTTTATCATACCTCGTCTTAAGACTATGTATGATTCCTGCCTCCACTACATTACTTGCCAGACTATTCCACTTCCTGACAAGTCTATGACTGAAGAAATACTTCCAAACATCTCTGACTCATGTGAGTCTTCAACTTCCAATTGTGACCCCTTGTTTCTGTGTCCCATCTCTGGATCATCCTGTCTCTGTCCACCTTATCTATTCCTCGCAGTATTTTGTATGTCGTTATCATGTCTCCCCTAACCCTCCTGTCCTTTAGTGTCGTCAGGCCGATTTCCCTTAACCTTTCTTCGTAGGACATTTCCCTTAGCTCTGGAACTATCCTTGTTGCAAACCTTTGCACTTTCTCTAATTTCTTGACGTGTTTACCAGGTGTGGGTTCCAAACTGGTGCTGCATACTCCAGTATGGGCCTGAGGTACACTGTGTACAGAGTCGTGAACGATTCCTTACTGAGGTATCAGAACGCCATTCTCAGGTTTGCCAGGCGCCCATATGCTGCAGCAGTTATCTGGTTGATGTGCGCTTCTGGAGATGTGCTCGGTATTATACTCACCCCAAGATCTTTTTCCTTGAGTGAGGTTTGCAGTCCTTGGCCACCTAGCCTATACTCTGTCTGTGGCCTTCTTTACCCTTCCTTGATCTTCATGGCTTTGCATTTGGCGGGGTTAAATTCGAGGAGCCAGTTGCTGAACCACGCGTCCAGCCTGTCCAGGTATCTTTGTAGTCCTGCCTGATCCTCATCTGATTTAATTCTCCTCATTACTTCACATCATCTGCGTACAGGGACTCTTCTGAGTATATCCCTTCCATCATGTCATTCCCATATACCAAAATTAGCCTGGCTCTGTGGGACCCCACTCGCCACAGGCGCCCACTGTGATACCTCATCACGTACCATGACTCGTTGCCTCCCTATCACGTATTCTCTGATCCATTGCAGTGCCCTTCCTATTATACGTGCCTGATCCTCTATCTTCTGCATTAATTTCTTGTGAGGAACTGTGTCGAAGGCCTTCTTGCAGTCCAAGAAAATCCAATCTATCCACTTCTCTCTCTTGTGT